GAGAGTAGTTAATTTTGGCTCTATGAAAATAAGGACAAGCCAGAGGGCCCCTGAGAGGCTGACTGAGAGGAAGAAAGATTGCCCTAAACATGGTATAAGCATTTCCTACCAAGGAATCATGAAGCCAAAAGTGCAAGGTCTTTGACAGATGCATTCGGGCAAGGCCAGGGGGAGGGAAGCAGGAAGAGATGAGTCTGGGCTCTCCAACGAGTCTCATCCCTGGGGGCTGATCTAACCGCAGGTTGGTGCCTGGCCTACCATTGTGGCTTGGTCTGAGTCCAGGCACAGACGCCTCCCACTCTGTTCCTTTCCACTGCAGAGGATTAGGCCAAGTTAGCCTGTATTCTGGGGACACAGATCTCGGTCTGGAGGCAGTAGGACCAAATTACCTTGGCCTAATGGATACTCAGGAAAACCAGAACATATTTCAAGGCACCACAGGGGTTTGCAGCCCATGAGAAGATCTCACTGGTGTTTTATGTGGATCTGGATTATATTTTTCATGACAGCTCAGTTTAGGAGCATTCGTAGAGCAGGCCTGGGCCAAATGATACCTGACAATGTTACATACATGAATTTCCAACTTGGATAAAAAAGTTCCTTTATGGAGAGAAAATATAGCTGTGTACTTTCTTCTCTTCTTTTTGGAGGCCTTCTGGTTTTATGCCCTATGTCTGCAGTGGATCTTCAGTATTCCAGGCACGTCTCAAAGATAAGGTGTAGATGAAAAGCATTTTGCTGACTGCATACATCTCTGCTAGATCTGGAGAAAATGAGTTCTTGCTATTCCATTTTTTACCATTGCTTTTAAAAACAATATTTGCATATTCCGTGTATGCTGTGAAAATGATCACTTTATTGATTGAGTCATTGATTAATTCATTTGATATCAATATGTATTGATTCTCTAGTCTGCACTTATGCTATAAACAATCGAGGTTCCAAAGGTGAATAAGTAAGAACGTAGCAAGTGGTGGAAGAGAAGTAAAGAGAAACCTGCTGTTGAGTTCCGAACAGGCATAAATTATTACCAGTGTGGGGATTAGAAGTGGTTGGGAAGAGAGGTGACCTTAAAATGCAGTGATCACCTCACGCCCATTAGGATGGCTACTATTAAACAAAACAAAACAGAAAAAAACAACAACAACAAATGTTGGGAAGGATTCTGGGAAATTGGAACACTTGTGCATTGTTGGTGGGATTGTAAAATATTGGTATATATCCAAAAAAATTGAGAACAGGCTTTCACAGAGATATATGAATATCCATTTTCATAGCAGCATTATTCAAAATATGGAAGCAGTCCAAATGTCCTTTGGTGGATGAATGGCTAAACAAATATTATATATATATATATATATATATATAACAATGGAATATTATTCAGCCTAAAATAGAAGGGAAATTCTGACACTTGCTACGACGTGGATGAACCTTGAGGACATTATGCTAAGTGAAATAAACCATTTACTAATCAACAGCTGCTATATGATTTCACTTATATGAATTATCTAGAATAGTCAGATGCATCAAGATTGAGGCACCTAGGTGGCTCAGTTGGTTACGCATCCGACTCTTGACTTTTGGCCTAGATCATGATCTTGTAGTTTGTGGGATTGAGCCTCACATCAGGCTCTGGGCTCACAGCTCAGAGCCTGCTTGAGTCTCTGTGTGCACATGCTCTCACTCTCTGTGTCTCAAAATAAATAAATATACTTAAAAAACAAAAAGGAGAATGATGGTTACCTGCCTGGGGGGAGGAGGAAATGGGAGGTTGTTTAATGGGTATGAAGTTTCAGTTTTGTGAGATGGAAAAGTTCCAGAGATTGGTTACACAACAGTGTGAATAACTAAACATTATTGAACTCTACAGTAAAAAATTATTAAGATGGTCAATTTTATATCTATTCTACCACAGTTTTTATGTATGTATGTATGTGTGTATTTATTTATTTATATCTCCAAAGACTTTTATTTTTTTATTTTTAATATCGTTTATTATCAAGTTGGTTTCCGTACAACACCTAGTGCTCATCCCAACAAATGCCCTTCTCCATGCCCATCACCCATTTGCCCGTCTCCCCCCACCCCCACCAACCCTCAGTTTGTTGTCAGTATTTAAGAGTTTCTTGTGGTTTGCCTCCCTCCCTCTCCTTAACTATTTTCCCCCTTCCCCTCCCCTATGGTTCTCTGTTAAGTGTTTCCTATTCCACATATGAGTGAAAACATATGGTATTTGTCTTTCTCTGCCTGACTTATTTCACTTAGCATAACACCCTCAAGTTCCATCCACATTGCTACACATGGCCAGATTTCATTCTTTCTCATTGCCATGTAGAGTTCCATTTTATATATAAACCACATCTTCTTGATCCATTTGTCAGGGACATTTAGGCTCTTTCCATGATTTGGCTATTGTTGAAAGTGCTGCTGTGAACATTGGGGTACATGTGTCCCCATGCATCAGCCCTCCTGTATCCCTTGGGTAAATTCCTAGCAGTGCTATTGCTGCTATCACAATTTTTAAATTTACAATATTTTATTATGCAGGGATGAGTGGAGGGTGCTGGGTACTTTGGAACTTTTGCGTATGCATATATTCACTCATTCATTCAGCAAACATGTATGGCATGCCTACTGTGTGCTGGATACCGAGCTAGGGGTTGAGGCTGCAAGACTTAAGATTTAGAAGGTGCTGAATCTGTCGGGGTCATGCTTGCCAACCACACTGCTCCCCAAAGGCACTAAGCTTCTATACTTAAATATCCACAGCTGCCTCCTACTGACTTGAATCATGCGTAAGATGTTGGTAAACAAACAGTATAAAGATTTGAGGTTGATTGGGGATGGGGGGAGAGTTCAACAGCATCGTGATGAAATGGAAGGAGATGGGCAAAAGAATATTAACTAGAATTGAACACTGCAAGCCAGTGCTCTCTAAAGATATTAAAAAATAAAGAACTTCCATTTGAGGCTGTCAAACTAAGAGCTTTGTCATTTAGAATGGAAAAAACAGGCCAAGTCAAACGCACTCAACACGAGGAGCCGGTATTTTGTGAGTATTATGGCAAATGTTGTTTGAGAGCCAGTGCCATAAAACTGTGGACAGTATTAATGAGCAATCAGGGCAAGGAAGGGTAATTCAATCTGAGCTAAAAGGAAAGACAGGTCTGGTGAAGGAGAGGACCAGTGAAAAAGTCAGTGTGGTCTGGTTATTTGGGTGGGGAATGGAAGCAGGAAGCATGGGTTTCTTTAATCAGAGAACATGGAAATTCTATCTTTAATTCACTTTATTTCATACTAGGTTTCTTTTTTTTTTCTTTTCTTTTATGCTATCTTATAGGAGCCTTCATCTATCCTTTCAATATCTTTTCTTTTTTCCTGTACACTCTGAAACATTCATGAATTTATTTCAGTATATTATTGAGTGCCAACTATATAGCAGGCACTGTGCTGGGCTCTGACCACACACCCTCGATGCTTTTACATTGGCTTTATTCAGTTGCCCATGCCTAGCAAATCTTGGATTGATATAAGTTCTTATCTGTACCTGGTTAAATGAAGAGGTGCAAACTTTGCCTCATCTGCCCCCTTTCTTACTTCTTTTCTCTCTGTCTTCTTCATGGTGCCTTTGTTGATACTGTTCCTTTTACCTGCGTCTTTAATCCCAACTGCTGTACTTTCCTTGACCTTGATTTTCCCTTCTCTGCACCCCCAGCTCTTCCCTCTCCCTTCAGTCTAGGTGAGGCTTCCTCAAGCTTCTTCCATTCTGAAAATCCTTCTTAATCTCTTTATTCTTTAGCGCCACTCCATCTCTGTCTCTACTCATTCTCATCCAAATTCACAAAGGAATGGCCTTCACCCATTTTCATTTCCTCATTCTCCCATTCACTTTTGTGCCACTGGCTTTTGCTCTTCCACTGAAACTCCTTGCCGAGGTTCCTCTCTGTCAGATCCTACTTCATCAGTCCTTGCTTTATTGGATTTTTCTGCCCCATTTGGCACTATCAGTCCATCTTCCTTCTGAAAGCTTTATACTTCTTTAAAACTTTTATCTCTTCATTTCCTTGGTTCTTCTGGAACTGACTTTCTCACATTTCTTTCTGAGATATGTTTCCTCTATGAAATTTTTATAGGTTGGAGTAATTGTGTTCTTCTGCTCTTCTAATTCTACATATTCTTTTTTTTAAAACGTTTTGTTTTTGAGAGACGGAGACAGAATGTGAGTGGGGGAGGGGCAGAGAGAGGGAGACACAGAATCCGAAGCAGGCTCCAGGCTCTGAGCTGTTGGCATAGAACCTGACGCAGAGCTTGAACCCACAAATCATGAGATCGTGACCTGAGCCGAAGTTGGATGCTTAACCTACTGAGCCACCCAGGCACCCCTCATTCTACACGTTCTTAAAAAGGAGTATTGAATATTGAATGACAGCCTTAAATTAGAGTCAAGTTGTAAGAACTGATATCTAGGGTTACATGGTAACAATGACATAAAAATGTGAATTGCTATCTTTCTATACATGTTCAGAGTTCTTCATCAGTTCATTTGAGTTTCAAATGCCCCAGCTGCTTTATACATTATCTCTATTTCCTGAGGCTTCTTGATGTGTCTAGAATTAGAATGAGCATTGGTCTCTAATGGTTCTGCATTAATTTTGAATCCCTGAAAAAAAAATGAATAAATCTATTAGAAACCACTTAATTTCATTTTTGTCATTTTCTGGATAATACATTCTGGTGGAGGCAGTCCATTTTTTAAGCAAGTTTGCAATAAACAGTTTCTCGTCAAGGTTAATATAATAGAGAAACACCTTTTGCTGCAACAGCTGGCAAGAGGTAATGAAAGATTAGCTTACATTATGATTCATTATTTCAGAATGTCAGAATAAAGTGGATCTGCTCCATCCACCAAGCCTCTTATTCTTTAGAAGAGAGTACATGTTTTGCTTTTCTAATGTTAATAGATTCACTGTTTTTATTTTCTATTTTTTTTTCCCTAGGCCAAATTCAGATAATCGGCGCCAGGGTGGCAGAGAGAGACTGGCCAGTACCGGTGATAAGGGAAGCATGGCCATGGAGTCTGCCAAGGAGACCCGCTACTGTGCGGTGTGCAATGACTATGCCTCAGGCTACCATTATGGAGTGTGGTCCTGTGAGGGCTGTAAGGCCTTCTTCAAGAGAAGTATTCAAGGTAATAGTGTGTTGAAAACGACTTATTCCAGTTTTAATCCCAAGAGGGGAAGCCACTGAAGAGGGAAGGCATGTGAGCAGCCATTTGTAGAATAACACTAATACCTAGTAGGTCCACTAGTATCTCTGGTAGAAAGATGGAGAAAAGAAAGATCTCCGGAGAAAGAGTTGACAAAGACCAGGACAGTTGTGGCTGAGTAATTACGTTTCCTCCATTTGGCAAGATCCTAGCAGTCTTGGGCAACCCTGCAGGTGGGTGGCGGGTGGGTGTTCATGTGTTGCAGGTAACTAGGCTGAGAGTGTGCTGTGTAATGTTAATTGTCTGTACACCTTGGCAGTGCTCAGGGATGTGTTCTATTCTGATCTTTGCTCCAGGCCAGTTCTCATTTAACCTGTTCCTCTCTCGCTCTTCTTCCATCTCTGTTGTCTCAGTGGATGATATGACCTTTTGCTGAAATGAGAAGACTCAATAGCTTGTGACTTATAATAGGGGGACATATTATCTGTGGAGGCAGTTATTAAGTATTTGCTTGTAATATTTCATTCACCTGTCTGCTTGATCCTTCTCTTGTACATGGTTTACCAAGTGCAGCTTCTCATTTATTCTGCCAGCTACAATTCATTTTTACTCCAAATGTCTATATTATTGTGTCTATATTATAGTGTCTATATTATTATCTTTTAGAGGATGCCCTGTGGGAAATACCATTCATTTTTACTACTGAAAATATTTATGCTAAATTTCCTTTGTCCGACAGGAATAGCAATCTTATAGGAGTTTAGGTTAGCTGAAATAACTGTCGTGGTCTATTTTATTATTTTTAAATTATTTTATGTCTCTATTTTATTTTGAGAGACAGAGACAGAACAAGAGTGGGGGAGGGGCAGAGAGAGAGGGAGACACAGAATCCGAAGCAGGCTCCAGGCTCTGAGCTGTCAGCACAGAGCCCGATGCTCAAAATCCTGGATTGTGAGATCATGCCCTGAGCATAAGTCGATGCTTAACTTACTGAGCCATCCAGGCACCCCTGTTTTGGTCCATTTTAAAAGCAGTTTTCTGACAGTTATTATTTTCAACTTCTTTTAGAAATATATTATAACACTTGGACTTTTTTATTGGATTTATTATTAAAATTAATGATATTCTCTGATAGTAAATTTTTGCTTACATGTATATGTATACACAAAGACATATATAAATAAATATATACACATATATCTATACATATATCTATGTGTTGAAGCAACATAGATTATTTAGTTTTATCAGCTGATACTGTATTTAAAATTTTTTTTAACGTTTATTTATTTTCGAGAGAGAGAGAGAGGGAGACACAGAATCTGAAGCAGGCTCCAGGCTCTGTGCTGACAGCACAGAGCTTGATGCAAGGCTCGAACTCATGGACTGAGATTGTGACCTGAGCCAAAGTCGCATGTCATCAAGCTTGTTCATATGTCAACAAAATTGGACAAGTCTCTTATCTGACACTGAGTTCTCTCATCTGTAAAAATAATTTAGAGCAGCGTCCAGTAATTTTTTTTTTTTTGTAAAAGGTCAGATAGTAACTATTTTGAGGTTTGCAAGCCATACAGTCTTTGTTACAGCTACTCAGCTCTGACATTGTGGCCTATAAGGGGCCATAGGCAATATATAAATAAATAGGTGTGTGCCAATAAAACTTTACATACAAAAACAGAGCAGAACTGACCAGAAATGATCTGTAAGCCATAATTTGCTGACCCTCGGTTTAATATATGGAAAGGGAATAGATTGTTTCTAAATCTGAAGTTTTGACTATTCATGTTTATTAAAAACTTACTCAGTACCTGTGCTAGTTTTTCTGAGGGAAATCAAAATATGTGTAAGACATAATCCATAATCCCACAAAATTAGGAGTTTATTTGGGAAATTTATTTGGGGAGGCAAAGGTACTTGTTCTTATGATACAATTAGAAAGTAAGTCAGTATAGATAGAGTGCTTTTATATGATAAAGATAAGGAAAATAATAAGTGAATATAAGAAAATAAATGTGTTTTCAGTTATAAAAATCAATATACTAAGATTAAAGATAGAAATGACCTTTCTTGAAAGAACAATAGCAATATTCTCACAAATTATTTTCGTCCTTTTGTTCTGCCTTGAAGAGTGTACTATATACCTTCACATCAAATTTAGTATTGTCTCTTAGCATTAAGGCATCAGAACAAAAAACACAGAAAAAAAGGAAAATACACTTGGAAAAAATAGTGAAGGAAATGTGAGCTAATAAAAATAAATGTTTTTATAGTATGGCGTTATCTTAAGTTCAAATATTAAAAAAAATTCTGCTTGCTCTTTGATGGTTAAAATAGATATCTCATCTCCATCTCGTATATACAGACTAAGTGGTGGGATTTCATTGTGCTATCAATTATACTATGTAATATTGTATTGTATATAAATTGTATAAAGTACAATTTCTACCTGGCTTCAAAAACTTCTTACTTATCATGGTATGAAGTCACTTAAATAAGGTTTATTAAGTGAGATGAATATTGAATCTACAGTTCTGGAAGAAGCATAGATTTGAAGCAGAGATATTAACTTTTAGAGCTAGGGAGGACCTTAACATGATTAAGTTTATTCATTCATTTATTCATTGATTACCTTTACTAAGCAAAGCACTGTACAAAGCCTTCGAGACACAATTATAGGAAAGACATGGTCCTTATTCTCATAGACCTTAAAACGTAGTGGGAGTATTGGACAAATAAATTGGCAACCAAATTATAGTCTGATAAGTGCTAAAATGAGGGTGAGTGCAGGGTGTTACAGGAGTCCAAACTTCACTCAGTTCTGGTGGCGGTGAGTCAGGAGGTTTCTTGGTTTAAAATTAAGTCTGGAAGATGAGGCAAAATGAAGAAAGAGGGGATGGGTGTTCACTCATAGGAATGAGCATATGAGCAAAGACCAGAAGGTGAAATGGAGTTTGGGGAGTTCTGTGAATAGTAATTAACAAAATTGACCCTTAGATGATTAAACAAAGGCATTCTTGAACCATGTATTTATCCTTAGATTATGTAAAAACAAAGTAGTTTATTTTCTTTTTGCTTGAACGGCATTTCTATGTATTTGATTTGTTTCTGCATATAAAAGGGAAATACAAGAGCAGTTTAGTGGTTTCTTGTCTCATTTTCTCATCATAGTCTTGATAACTTGCAACTAAAAAGTTTTACTGAACTTCTTTGGCTCTTTATAAGTCACACTGCCCCTCAAACCTATTTAAGGACAGTGAAGGGCCTGACATGCAGGTAGAAACTTCTGAAGATGCTGTAGCTGTCCCTGTTTTTCTTGTTACTTAAGAAAAGAGCTAGAAATGAGTATCCATCAGATTACTCTAGTGCTCTAAGTGTTTTGGTTGAAGAGGTAAAGTGTTTGATTTGAAAGCATACAAATTTTCATCCACTACTTAGTGTATAAACTTGATTACTCAAGAAATTGAGTAATGGCCTTCAGTTAAACATACTTTTTTTTTTTAAGGAAAAGCCAAAGGCACTATTCAAGGGAGGGGTAAATGGGATATTATATGGAACTTGTTAATCATTGCAGGTGGGGAATCAGTGTTTCTTAAGGTATATTGTAAGCAGAGACCTTGGATGAAATTATATAAGCAGATTTGATGAATGGTTCAACAGCCAGGGACTCCTTTGAGTATGGCTTCAAGGAAAAAGGACTACACTTAACTCACTGCTTCTCTTAAACTATCATTTCAAGTGGTCATGAGGCACAGTGGAGTCCCAAGTCTATTTGTACACCACTAGCTATACTTCCTCTTCATATTATCTCACTTATGTATATATAGAAGATGATTAACATTAGATCAAACAGACATGGTCCAGGCAGGTGTTGGATTAAAGGTTAGATAAGATCAGAAGGACATCAGGGTGGTAACAGGGTGGAGTCTGGTTATGGTTCAAGGCAGTGGGGCATTGGGTCTAACAAGGATAACTGATAAGCTTTACCCATCAGGCCTTAGAAGGCATTAGGGGGTGAGACATTCCAGCACCCTGGATAGCTCCTTCAACAGCTGCTGAGGGTAAGCAGAGACTTTCTGAGGAGCTTCAGTCCATTTAGCAGGGTCCATCCACTTTGTAGAGCTGTAGTAAAAGAGAACTTAGGAATTCACCCTTGTTCACCCAAGCTGTATTGGTTTTTATGTTTAGTTTCCTATTTATGGCCACCTTCTGTCTTGACATATGTGTGCATGCCTGGAAGAATACAGAGGATGTGGGAGAAGTGGAGGCTGCTCTCATTATGTTAACTATTTTATCTCTGGGATCTTTTCAGAGATATGGCTCAAAGTTGAACTAGCAGTATATGCATACAAAAACACTAAATTTTTGATCTTCATATTCCACACTTGCCCCTCTACCATCTAGTCTGCATGCAACAGCAGGAGAAATCTTTTAAATATATTAATCAGGTCATATGGTCTTAAAACTCTCACTGCTTTTGAAGTCCAGATTCCCTTCTATGGCTTAAAATACTCTTCCCTCTCTTAGTCCTGCTTATTTCACTCTAATCCAGTCACAGTGGCCTTCTTTCTCTTCTTCCAGCACATCAACGATGTTCCTGCCTCAGGACCTCAGCACGTTTTCCCCTTTGCTTGCAGCACCTGGATCTATACTCTGCTGGTTTCTTGTCTTTTGGATCTCTGTCCAAGATCACTTTCTCAGAGAAATCTTCCCTGATTATCTTACCCAAAGTAACCCTACCAATGTTTGCCCCTATTTTTCTTTTATGTTTACTCCATTACCCTTAGTTTTCTTTGAGGGCCTCAACCCTTAAAGAAGTTCTCTTATTTATTGATTTGGTTGATGATTGTCTGCACCAGGTGCTGCTTGCCCATATTCCCACCCGAACTTGAATTTAAGTAAGCTCAGTGAAAGCTGATTTCAGATCTGGTCTGCCCTGTGGGTGACTATTGCTCCAGTGCCTCTGGTAGTGTAGGGCACATCTC